GCCATCTGTGCACCGAGCCTGAACATTTTGTCTAAATATTCCAAGGCCTCGGGGCAGAGGTTTCTTCCCCTCCGCCCAACCAGCTGATCGCGGCAACAGATGGGCCGCCAGGCTCTCATCGAGGTGGGGCACGCCAGAACACACCGTGTCTGATCGGCCCTGCACCCTGACAATGCCCGACATAGATGCTATGGCGGCCTTCGTCTTCAATGGACGCCGCCATGTCGCCTCCACACACTGCCAGATGTCTGGCAACGGGGGCGAGACGAAGGCCGGCTGCGCCGGAAGCACCGGGCCGTAAAACCCCTGCCTAAGGCGGCTTATAGGCCTCGGTGGCAGCGGTGGGGGGAGCGGTAAGCCTACACGCTCCGCTGCCTGGGTCATCACCGCTGGGAAGTCCAGTCGCGCAGACCTGAGTGCTGGGCCCTCCTGGCCGTCGGAACCGGGGGTGTCGGACAATGAGATGTCGTCATCTTCCTCCGCGAAGTCGACCACCTCGAGGTCCACATCCTCTTCCTCTCCGTGCACCTGCGGGCCGAGCTTCCTCAAGAAGTGCTCCGCACGATGCCGGCGGTTCAGCATCGGGATCGAACGGCAGGCAACGCAGGCCGGTGTCTGGCCCACTCCCTGCTCGGCATGATCCTGTCCCAGGCACTGGAAACACTGACGATGCAGATCTGCTCCCGCAATCAGGCCAGGGCACGACGGGCAATTACGATGCTCCAGGAGTGGCTCCATTTAAAAAAAAATATTCGCTTTCTTCCTTTCTCTCAATAGTACGTCTCGGACTCAGTGCTAGGCTATCACCTCCGCTCGCTGAAGAGTAAAGGATGGTGGTCAGGAGGCGAGGCCTCCTTTTATACGGAAGTGAGATGCGCGCGTATTCAGGTAGGCCCGCCCCGGGGCCGGCTACGTCTATAGAAATCTCAGTAGGTGAATGCTTGCATGATAAGGTAGTACCCATAGAGTCCAGTAGAGGGCGGAGCCTGTGAGAGATATAACCACGGTATCCCGTTAAATGTAATCCATTACACACACACACACACACACACTCACACATGCAGTGTTTACAGAGACAGAATGGAAGCCCCCCTTGGTGTGTGAGGGTGGGGTGATGCAACTCAACAAGTTCAAGTACCACACAACTCAATGGCCTCTTAGAACTTTGATGTGACATGGAATATTTCTTGGTTTAACACACACACGCACCATATGTGTTTTGAAATCATTGACACATGGTTTACATCCTTGCACTAAAAATAATCGTCGGAATGTTCTGGGCACAATAGCTCTGGCAGGCAGGGATGAGGAGACACACGCACTCATAACGGGCAGATGTAGGAAGAACACGCTCGCTTCAGATTCGTTGCAAATTGACTGAGGAGAGGAATGCAGTCACGAAGCAAGACAGACTCAGGGTTCTGTTTCATGTGGAGGCTAATGTCTTCCAACTTTATTGTAAACTGTCCTATTTAAGCGGAAGGAATTCCAGCAAATTAAAACGTCCGCTCCGTGATAAGCGCAGATTAAACAGCACCCAGGTCAATGTGGACGTGATTACAGAGCGTTCTATGTTTCCATAGGCTGTCCCTGGGCCTTTGGATGTGTATGGTCCTTGGTTTATCTGGCATTACAGTATATGTTACCAAAGGTCATGGATAAGCCTGTATGATCTGGATTCAATCACATTCTTTTCAGCCTATACTCCATAAAGTTATTTTATTTTAGGCATCTGCCAAAACCGAGTTTGACCCATTACTCATATACATGTATACCTAAATGTGGTATAAATATCTTATCAATCACATTCACATAAAGCTGTAGTCTAGCAATAATCATTGAATGATCAATTTATTTTATATTTGTTGTAGAATTCATGCATCTCCTTTGCCTTTTTTAAATGAAACTTCAAATAGAACAGAATTTAACATAATCTATTATTTTTTCAGGGAAGTAATCGCTGAGACTGAAATGCAAACACAAAAATAATTGAATTAGCTACAGAGTTCTTGTATGTAGCAACAAACCTTCTATAAACTAACAGGCTAAGTCTGGCTCATCACTGTGACTCGTTTTGCTTTCAGGATGTTAATAAAGAAATAAAACAAAACAGATTCTAAAGCAAAAGCATAAGGTCAACTGAAAATAACAGAACCTTGCTTACTTTCTTTGTCTTTCCAAGAACCCCTACCTACAACAATTGCCCAAAATACCAATAAGACCAGGGGACAATTACTAGAACTGTGTACTGTGTACACAAAATCCCTAATTACAAAAACAATAAACACAGGCCTGATAGGCATTTTGGCTCCTACGGTGTACAAAGGCAAAATACTTCGAAAACACAAAGATGTGTGCAGGTGTGAGGGACTTATCTCAGCCAATCACAGCTCTGCATGCATCCCCTGGATATTATTTTATTAACTGCTTTCATCGCAACGCGATGTTTACAGTAAGAACAGCTGTGAGGTCCGTGCAGAAAGCAGAGCAGTGTGTATAATATATATCACTCAGTATAACAGGCCTACATTACTCTCTGTATTTGTATGCTTTAGTTTAGTAGATATCTACAAACAAAGAGTCGATATTTTTCTAAGACCATTTAGTGCTTCACATAATAAAATACACAACGGCTGTAGCCTGATATATAGCCTATTATATGCTTTAGGAGCTGTAGGTGTGTGTTGTACAGTGCGTAGATGCGGAGGACAGACGGGTCTCAGTTGGTTTGGCGTCCTATGCTTACTTTTAACACTTGTAAATACAACTTTTGGCCCGTAATTTCCATTCCCCATTTCAGCGACCAGAGAGGGGGGGGGGGGATATATCCAGTCTCTGATTGGCTTACGTTATTATGAGAGTGCTCTCATACTTGTTTGATTCTGAAATTGTATATATTTATATAAATATATGTGTGTATATGTCCGCATCTGTAGCCTGTTATTGTCTCATTATACCGCACTGTCAATGAATTAAAAGTAAATAAGTCATCATGAACACATCTGTCCATCAGACAGAGGGCTGCTGTGCCTCCTGTCATCATTAATGGACGTCTCTTTAAAATGACCGCTCAGAGGAGAGGATTTCTCATTTCTCTAAACGCCTGCTGCTTCCCCTCCTCTCTCCTCGGTTCCCCTCCTCGACTCCTCCGCTCGCATCTCCTGTGGGCGGGACTAAGACACGAGGATAGGACACAAAAACTAAGATCGAGTCCCCAGGTGGGTAAGGACTGCCCTGGGCCAGGGGACTTCTTCTGTTGAGAGGGCACAGGGCCCAATGACGTCACGGAATCATACGGAAGTTGCAGGACCGCAGTTTGGTCATTAGAACGTTTTGCTTCAACTTCAACTCACTGGGGGCTTGAAGTGTTGAGTGGATCTTTGGGGTTTATCAGTCCGTAGCCATGGCCTGTAGCAAACAATAAGGTCCTAAAGATTTGAGCGAAGTTGGCCATAGCCGAGCAGGACTAGGAAAGAAGAAGGGCCAAGACGAAAAGGACAAAAGAGAAGAGTCTTTGTTTCCTCTGCTTAATGTCCTGGTTCACCCTGGTGTCACAGAGGGAAGTGTCTGTCCTCACAAACAATCTTTTGGTTAGTCGCTTGAATAGTTTCATGTCATGAACCTACCCTCAGAAATAATGTCATTAAGGGAAAGCTGGTATGATATTTGTGAAAAGGTCAATGCTGTCTCAAAACAAAGCTGCTCCCACATCGTTCTATACGCTGCTTTCTTTAATAACAAGAAAGGGAGATATAACATTTCCTCCCATGTTAAAACTTAGCATTTACTTTCCTTTGTCTGTCACCTCCTGGTGCATAAATCATTTTTCACTTACACCAACTCCATTTTTTTCTGTTGACAGTGACTCAGTGCTGTGGTAGAGAAGAAGAGTGCTGCCAGACCGGCAGGGGGAAGTGGAAAACACAGAGAACATTACAAAATAATCACATTTGTTTCATTTTAGCCCACAACAATCCATTAAAATGTAGTAAGTGTGGACGTTCATGATGAAATATTTCACAAATGGATGTCCTGCACTATCCAAATGCGATATAATATAATTCACACATCAAATAATGCCCAAGATCAACCACATAAAACCCTGCATCTCTACTAGAAAAAAAAAAAAAATAATAATAATAACTGACATGGTCGAGGGTGAGACTATATATAGTTCTAAGACCTATTGAGATAATAATTTGAGGCTGTGCCTTTTAACTTGCTAGAAAATACAGAAATGTATAGTGAGTCACCTGCATGCATGTGTGAGTACATGTGCATACAAACAAACAAAACAAAGAACCCACTCTGCACTGGCAGGATGTTTGAACTAAACTAAAACACTTTAGTTACTCTGGTTTCACTTATAATTCATCCGTCTTATGAACAAGATAGCTGCAAGAAAACAAAGCCACTGCTGCTGGGACTGGCATTACTGAGATGTATTATGTTTGATTTTATTAGACGTACTATTTGATCCAGCACAACAGAAACATTGTAGCAGTTATAATGCTCTTGTATTGTGTCTGAAATGTATCTGTCAGTGTGGAAGACATGACTTGTAAATCACTGAGTCAGCCTGGAGGTGACCTCCCTGCTGCCAGGATCAAGGAGCACACTGAGAAAGAGCCTGATAGACCTCAGAAGAAGAAGACCTTTTATTGATCCCCAAGGGGAACTTTTAGTATTTCAACTCTTTTATTGTACACAGTAAACTACACACATGAACACCTATACACATTAGGGCTAAATACTCGCATGCACTGTTGTTATGGAGAGGTGTCAATGAAAAGAGGCTGCTGGTTTCAGGCAGCAGTCAGGTGTTTTGGTGCCTTGCTCAAGGACACCCAGTGTCAGTGTTTAGGAGGTGATCTGGCACCGCTCACGCAACCTTTCCACCCCAGTCCTACAGACTGAGCTACTGCCAAACCAATCAATATTATGAAGAACTTCTGCCTCTGTTTCACACCGTCCTCTCTCTCTTTCCGTTTGTTCCTCAGGTATGACGATCCCAGAAGAAGACACAGAGGCAGGTGCGACTGGAAAATACTGCCTAGTGGCCATCGGACGACTGCAGGTGTGTGTGTGTGTGTGGTGTGTGTGTGGTGTGTGTGTGTGTGTGTGTGGTGTGTGTGTGTGTGTGTGTGTGTGTGTGTGTGTGTGTGTGTGGTGTGTGTGTGTGTGTGTGTGTGTGTGTGTGTGTGTGTGTGTGTGTGTGTGTGTGTGTGTGTGTGTGTGTGTGTGTGTGTGTGTGTTCCTTCTACTCATTCCCTGTCATGCCAGCTATATAACATAGGCTAATAAATAAAATTAAAACAAATATCCCAAATTAAGCAGGGCCAACTTTTTTGTCCCACAACAACAGTTGCCAAAATATGTTTTCCATGCTGGACTCATTATGGAGATACTTCTGTTGTTGTTTTATAACTCTGTGTTTCGTTCACATGCTGCCAGACTCAGTTGTGAAAACACTAAACACTTAAATGATTTACAAGAATATCAAAGTTCCTGGAAGCACTCCTCCAGCATCATCACGTCTCACCTGTCCCTGTGAAGGCTCAGTGTTTTTCACACTCTTATAGCTGGCTAAATATTGAATAATGCTTCCATAAAGGTTATAAACTTCAAGGGTAAAGATAGCTGGCTGAGAGTCTGATTTCAAAAGTTAAGTTTTATTACACTTGTGAATGATTAAATTAGCAGTTTAATTCCACCGTGTGAGTCTGGGTGTCATCATATCTAATGCAGCAGGATCTACCACAGAGGTCTTTCATTACTTTGCCAAGTGTTAATATATCTGTCTGTCTGCGGACACATTTTGTCACTCATCAATCAATTAATCACACTCTTTAAGTAGCTCCATGTTAAAAATTACACATAATCCTCAGGGGACGTTACTGACAGCATCCAACAGCCGCTGTCTTCAGAGCCTCTACATCTGTTAAAGACATGTCACTATAAAAGGGAACAGAACTTCAGATAATCTCTATTTTAGACATATTCTTTCTATAGAAACATGTCACTTGTGTATTTGTACTGCAGATTTCTCCTCTTCATATATGTAAATGATGCCCCCCCCCCCCCCCCCCCCCCCCCCCCCCCCCCCCCAGGTGACCAGCTCTCCGGTCTCCATGGACATGAACGGCCTGTCGGTGCCCACAGAGTTCCTGTCGCGCCACAACTCAGACGGTGTCATCACCTTCGTGGACCCGCGCTGCATCAACGTGATTGGCTATCAGCCTCAGGTGAGCTGAGAGGATTAAAATGACTATTCTGATACTCTCATGAATATTGACATTAAAGAGGACATATTCTGCTCATATTTACTGTGTCTACTGGGACATGTCTCCATGCTTTAATGTTCAAAAAGCTCTTTATATTTCTCATACTGCCTGTGCTGCAGCTCCTCTTTTCACCCTCTGTCTGAAACCAGAGCCCAGTCTGCTCTGATTGGTTAGCTGGCCGGCTCTGTTGTGATTGGTCAACCACTTAGAGATGTTAGCTTACGTGAGCAAGTTAGCCAAACTAAGTCAAAGTTTGCCATCTGTTGCAGGGGTACTTTTATTTGAATTTCAAGATAAGATCAGAAAATAAGTACTTTATTGATCCAAATTTGGGAATTTTTGGCGGGAAATGTTGTGGCCAATACTGTATCTATGAAATGAAAACACAGACTCTGAGCAGAGAGCAGCGCCGTCATTTTATCAACTCAGCTAACTGAAAGCCCAAAAGCAAGAAAACCAATTTAGAGTTGTTAGCAACATTTATTATACAGCTTGTAACCATAAACACCACTGGACCCTTGAACAAATTTCAGCTTGTTGTGAACGAAAAACCATCACCATATTTCTTAAACAAATTGTTGGTAAAGTTAATGGGCATTCAGCTTATAAGCACAACAGTTTAAACATGATAGCATTAGCTAGCAGGTTAGTGAACTTTGGGATTTTAGCCTTTGCAGACCATTTACATGGACAAAAACATGTATAACACACTACAGGAAAACCCCCAAAAGCATGATAGGGCCTCTTTAAAGATGCAAGGGACATTTCCCTATACATTCATATCCAAGTTGCCAACATTAACTTTTTTATGGGGTTTTAATTAGGTTTTTTACTTATTAAAGCGGTACATCGTAAATCGACCTCACCGCAGAAAGAACCAGCCATTAATTTGAAACAGGCTTGGGTGTTATATACATTTCGATTTTGATTATATGTCAGTCAGATAGCTCCCTGTTTTCTTGTATGCTGCTGTTTTAACTGTCGGTCAATGAAAACACACCCTCAGTGTCACCTGTTGTCTGATAAAGTGAGAATACATGCATTGCATACAGATTTCAATTGGACAGCACTCAATTATATTTTATTCTATAACCCATCAGCTCTCACTCGTTTAAACAGAAAAAAACATTTTCATTCAATAATTCATTCCACTTGCATCAACTTTGACACTTGTTTGAACGCTGCTGTCACCAATTAACTCAACACATTCTCCACAGTGGATTTACAATAAAAACTTTCCAGTTGCTCAAAGGCATAATCTTTCCCCTTTTAACGATTCACATTAGTATGAATTTGAAGCATTTTATTGCCTTTGCAGCAATAAAAAAAAGGATTAAATGTAGAATGGATTGGAATGAAACTGAATGAGATTGTATTTCCGTGAGAAGACATGCTGTTCTGATTATTATCGCCTGCCAAACAGGATTCTATGTTAATAGTCACAGTTTGATCAATATATTAACACTCTTCTGCTGAAATGAGAAGTCAGTGTAGTTCACAAAATAAGGCTTCCTATGTGAAAAACAAACACTTGATTCCAATCATCATGAATAACTCAGTGAGGCTCTGCTGCAGCACCCTGGTCACGATCAGATGAAGTCCTCATGTTTTGCACACGGAACACATTCCATGACTCAGCAGCCCTGCTTTGGTCACCTGCTACTGTGTTTACAGTGGAAATAAGCACAGAGGAAGAAAACATTTGTGCTTCTATGTGAAGCATTCCTGTGGTCAGTGTTTGTTAACTGCTCTACTCAGCAAGAAGAAGTCCGTGACTCAGGAGTTCTGTTTCTGCTCGATCATAACAAATACATGCTGTTTGGAGCAGCTACCAAAATGTGTTTGTTACATTCCTTCAGACCCTTTGTCCTATTTCTTACCTGCATTATTAAACTCTCTCATTAGCTTGCTGCTTTAAGTAAAGGTTTGCACCTAGTCTGTGAATCACTTTATCACCTGAACTAAACTTAAAATCTTTATGAATGATTATTTTACCTTAAAAATCTGAAGAATATATGGATAGATATCGCTTATTTTAGCAGGTGAAAGGTTGCTACTTTATCTTTGTCTATATGACGTTATTTTGAGCATGGACTGAGCAGCTACAACTGATTGATCCGATCTCCTTTCAGAAAACACAGATTGTAAACGTCTTTTGACACACTTGCTAAAGCATTAAAGGTGGGGTAGGTAAGAATGGAGAAACCAGCTCGAGTGCGCTAGAATTTGAAAGTACACAACCGGAGAAAATCTGCCCCTTCCTTCAGACTTCCTTACAGAGCCCCTCCTCCAACACACACGAACGCGCACATGACCAATGAGGGCACGAGATAAGTTTGTGCACAGATGGAAGGCTGACAGGCAGGTAGGCCAAATAATATGTTCATTTAGTTTGTTGTTGTTGTCGGTATCTCCATGGAAATAAGTCCCGCCTCCTCTCCAGCGCGTCCAGTTGATGTGACGCAAGTAAACCCAAATGGTGAAACTCGTGCTGATGCTTGGCGAATCTTTTTTTTGCCTCCGGTGTGAACGCATCATAACCCTCTCAGATCTGTTTTTGATTCCAGTTTAGAAGAAAACAAATCTGTGACCACAGCATTCCTTCTGCACAGTCTTTTTCCATGTTTTGATTTGAGTACTAAACACTTTATTCATGACGATAACTTCTGGATTGATGAGATGAATTCTGTTGTGTCGTCCTGCAGGACCTGCTGGGGAAAGACATCCTGGAGTTCTGCCATCCTGAGGACCAGAGTCACCTGAGAGAGAGCTTCCAGCAGGTGGGTTCTTCTTAGAGTCAGGAATACAGATACAGTGGTGGAAGAAGTACTCAGATCTTATACTTAGGTAAAAGGAGCAATAGTACATTGTAAAGATACTCTGTTACAAGTCAAAGTGCTGTGTTTAAAATCTTAGTAAAATAAAAGTACAAACGTCTTGGCATCAAAATCTACAAAAATAAAGGTTCTAGTGTGTAATGGCTCATTTTAAGCATATGAAATGATGAATACTCCTGAATGTGGTCCTCCCTCTGCAGGTGGTGAAGCTGAAGGGCCAGGTTCTCTCCGTCATGTACCGCTTCAGGATGAAGAACAGGGAGTGGATGCTGATCAGAACCAGCAGCTTCACCTTCCAGAATCCCTACTCTGACGAGATCGAGTACATCATCTGCACCAACACCAACGTCAAGTGGGTCCCACACACACACACACACACACACACACACACACACACACACACACACACACACACACACACACACACACACACACACACACACACACACACACACACACATATATGCATGGCTATCATTCTTCAAAAGAGTTTTAGTTTTGAACATATTAAAAAATAAGACAGAAAAGCAAAGAGTAGTGAAGACAAAAATACAACATTAACTTTCACAACATCCCTTCCTCCTTAGCAGCGGTCTGCTGGGGAAAAATAGCAGTCCTCTGGAATGTCCAAATTGACCAATCAGAATCCATTCTTCAACTAAGCCATTTTAAAAGAAATAATGTATTCCTGCTCCAAAACACAGCACTTATAGAACACTACATGATGATACAATGATATGTAGATTACCTTTTTTTATCATGAAAGTTGTCTTATTAAATGGAATTTAAAATGAAGTACGCCTCAAATACTGAATGTGTCAGTGTGCAGTGCTGATGGAGTGTGTGTTGTGTGTGTGTGGATGCAGGCAGCTGCAGCAGCAGCAGCAGGCGGAGCTGGAGGTGCACCAGAGAGACGGACTGACGGCCTACGACCTGTCCCAGGTATCCCTCCACCTTGGCACCATGTGATCACACTCTGGGAACAGGGCTCCAGATGGAAAGACCCACAGCAAAAAATAGTTTTTTCACTTAATGTTGTGCATTTTATTTGCACACATGTAGACAGGTTCAGTAAACACTAGCAGGAATAGAGCAGTCCTTACTGGGAAGTCATTCTCAGGATGTAGGAAACTAGAATTGTCAATTAATCTCAACATCTTTCTTTTGATTGGCTAATCACCTGAAAAGCTGAAATAGAGTCGCTTGTGAAACGTGTGTTGTATTCTTAATTTGTGTGACTTAGGTCTGTCATCCCTAACATCAACCATTATCCCCCCCCCCCCCCTCAGGTGCCTGTGGCCGGTGTCAGCAGTGGAGTCCACGAGGCGGGGAAGAACATCGACAAGACAGAAGTGCTGTTCTCCCAGGAGAGAGACCCCCGCTTCGCAGAGATGTACAGCGGCATCTCCGGCTGTAAGACGTGCACACACACTCACGTGACCTATATACTCTCCTCTTTGTTCCTGTCATAGTGCTGACCCTGGTGTGTGTGTGTGTGTGTGTGTGTGTGTGTAGCTGCAGATAAGAAGATGATGGTCCCCTCCGCCACAGCTGGAGGACAGCAGCTGTACTCCCAGAGCTCCCCCTTCCAGCAGGGACACTCTGGGAAGAGCTTCAGGTACAGTGTGACAGTGGCGAGCTAAGATATTCTACAAAATAATATTTAAAAACATTAAAAAATATATATAAAATATTTTTCATTAGTTTTACCAAAATAACTTGATTTAATTGTATTTAAAATAACATTTCCATAGAAATAAATCCTTTGAATCTGCCTGTTCAGTCTCTGTTGAATGTGAAGGGTTACATGAAAGAAGCTCGTCTGGCCCTCTCTGCGATTCACAGAGGGCCCGCTATAGTAACTGAATGAGAGAGTAATGTCAAATGACAGTACAATTGACCAATCATATCTTCCCTCTAAATGGGTGGGCTTTATTATCGCAGACTTTATGACAAATTCCGCCCGCTGTGAAGCTTTCCTTGTTTCCATAGCAACAACAACTTCCTGTCAACAGCGTAAACTCGCCTTCAAAATAAAAGCATGCCAAATGACACTTAAGACATACAACTGCAACGAAGGTAACAAACACAATGCAATATCCTTTTCAATGTCAAAGAACACAAATTGGGTTCACAGGTGTTGTTCTGTGTGGTTGAGGGTTGCTTTCATTGATGCGTTTTGCACCCTGGGCCGTTTTTTTGATATTCCGCTGAAGTATACGCTGTGACGTAATAACTCTTTTTTCTTTTTTCTCTCGAGGGAAGGGCTGGGGGTCAGAGGGCCTAGGTATAAAAGTCACGGCTCACCACTGCATTGTGATGATGTCAGGCCTCAGCTGGGGTAGCACTGGAGGAAATATCATATTTCATATTTGTCTTGTGTGGGTCTCTCTTTGTGAACACAGCTCCTCAGTGATCCATGTCCCCGGTGTCAACGACATACAGCCATCAGGCTCGTCCAATCAGAATCTAGCTCAGATCTCCAGACAGCTAAACCCAGGCCAGGTGGCATGGTCAGGCAACCGCCCCCCCTTCTCTGGACAGGTAATACACACACACACACACACACACACACACACACACACACACACACACACACACACACACACACACACACACAACCACACACACACACCACACACACACCACCACAACACACACAACACCACACAACACACACACACACACACACACACACACACACACACACACACACACACACACACACATACACACACACACACACATGAACACACACACACACACACACACACACACACACACACACACACACACACACACACACACACACACACACACACACACACACACACACACACCACACACACATACACACACACACACACATGAACACACAAACACCAGTGATAATATTGCATTCATTCAGCAACTCATTTTCTCCTGAAATTCTCTCTGGTGCCTGTTAGCAGACGTCCAGATCAAACCTATTAGTTGTGTTTTATATGTTGGTCAGGTTTTCAACATTTTCAATGTCCCGACAAATAGGAGAAATTCTCATCAAACATTATGCAGATGATATTACGAATGAGGCATTTCAGACTGTACCTTTATCGACTCCAACTGTGAGCCACCTCACATTGTCTATGAAGTCAAATAACATTTCAGGTACTTTTGAACCTGGCTCTTGACTTTCATATGAATGGGAAAAAGTATGTAATAGATATGTGCAACCAAACATTCTTGTCCATTATTCTATTCCTACCTATTCACCATGTGATGACTGCAACCAAAGATACATTACAGCTAGAGTTGTAAAGTATTTCAGTATAATATATTGTGTTAAATGTTGTATTTTGTCCTGAAACAAAACACATATGTCCCCCTTTTTAGTTTTGAACAAAGGCATGATTACAAGGTGAACACACGCTATGTGTTATCTTACTCTGGTTTTGCCACCTTCATTATAAAGCAGGGGTATTCAACTCAAATTCAACGAGGTCCAGTTAGAGAAAATGTCCCCATGCAAAGGTCCGGAACATCAAAATGTCTAAGTTACTTTATGAATTAGTGTGATATATAAGTAGCCTGTAGCTTTATCAACGTCTGTATGTCATCAACAACTGACTGCCAACCAAATAAAGAAAGTACAATTCATAAACAACAATATTTATTGTCAATGAACATTGAACTATAGAGATATACAGTAAATACTGTGGATATGTGTAATGTTCCTCTCTGGCTGCATTTAAAAATAAAATAGAGAAAATAAATAAAATAGCTTTTGAAAATATGTGCATCTTAAAAGTGCTTAATATTAGATAAATAAAATAAAGTGTAGCAGCAGCTTGAGTTTCCCTTTTTCTTTGTTAACCGTTTCACATCATGACTTAACAGTTTCAGACGATTATAGAACATATCAGTCTTTACACATCATAACAATTGAACAGTTTTAAAGTTTCTCTTTCTTTCCCTCTTATATTGCAGTCCCTCACTCACTTTTCTTTAATTCAGTGCGAGAATTGAGCTTGAGCTTGTCCTGCCAGGAGTTTAGATCTGGGCTGAAATGGTGTCAGGGCCATTCTCATACACACATGCAGGTGCTCATTGGTTAGCCTCGGTTAGCCTGCCCTGGAACCATATTTAGTTTTCATTTTGATCCTGGTGGACTGATCATACTGGGCTCTGAGACTGCTTATTTCTTGTGACCTCAGTTCTGACTTGAGAGGGAATGTTTGGTCAAACACTTTGTGTTTTGTCTCATAGTGGCGTTTTGGCACTTTTAATGAGCGCCACGGTCTCTGAACAAATTAGACACACTGGTTCTGTGCTCCCAGTGGGCAGGATGAACATGAATGAGTCCACTCAGGGTTAAAAGCTCTGTTCTCACACTGTCCACTTTCCTCTTCTTGGAGAGCGCCATGTGTCATTATTTGTCTCTCCCTGTCTGCTGCTAACACGCCTGTTCACTCTCCTCTCCGTCTTCTCTCCCTGTATCGCTAATTATTCTCTTCACTCACTTTCCTCTCTTCATCTCATCTCATCTCTTCTTCTGTGTTTCTCTCCCTGTATCGCTCTCTCATCTCTTCTTCTGTGTTTCTCTCCCTGTATCGCTCACTCGTCTCTTTCGCCCCCTGTCGGCAGCGGTTAAAATAGAATCGCCCCGTCAACATTGAAATCCCCTATTAATGTATTGATTATAGGTCCGGGTCCGTAAAGGTCGGCGTCTGGGTCTGGATCCGGACCGTGGTCCGCCTGTTGCCGACCCCTATTATAGAGAGTCAGGGAACGACCCCCCCCCCCCTGGATTAGATTTTAGACACATTATTTTCATGTGAATAAAAAAATGAATTTTAACATAACTAACATTTTTGCCTTTTTTGTCAGGTACCCCAATAAAGACTAATGAGAGTGCACTGAGTGGTGAACCCTGTATCTTGTGTGATGCTAACCTCTGTGTATCCACTCTGTGTATGCAGTCCAGTAAAGCCCAGTCCAGCCCCTTTGGGATTGGTTCTGGCCACAGCTACCAGACGGACCCCGCCTCCTACAGCCCGCTGTCGTCTCCGGCCACTTCCTCCCCAAGCGGCAACGCCTACTCAGGACTGACCAACCGCAGCACAGCTTTTGGTGAGCCTCTCTCTCTTCGTTCTTATAAGCAGGGGTGCACATAACTTTCTTAGTGAGTTACTCAAATGAGTACCAGGAGACAATGTTTGGTACTCAGGGCTGCCCACGCAAGGTTCTGTGTTCAGCCCCTCTGTTTCGCGAACGTCGACAGGGGGTGGAGGTGGGCGCTAGTGGAGCACTCGCGTGGAACTCGCGCCAGAAGTTGTGGCACAATTCCGTTGTACACACCGACGTTAACAGCAGCCCCGTCTGTGCGCACGGCGACCGGCTCTGTCGTCCAGTGATCGAAGCACCTTCTGGAAATGCTTCACAAGTCCGCCGGTACGCAAATGCGCTTAGTGAGACAAGTGACGGTACGCATTTCAGATGTTTGCTGCGCATGCGTACCTGCGTACCAGTTATGTGCACCCCTGCTTATAAGACAGATACAAAATAAAGAAAAAAATCATTACAAACAACTAATAAACAAACAGAAAGAGTTATATCAATAATATCAACCATAAAACAATGAAACATGAACAGTGGTACCACTAAAATTACCTCAAATTAAAAGCCAAATTAAAAAGATAGGTCTTTCATTTACTTTTGAAAACTCCAATGGAGTTTGCTGTTCAAAGATCCAAGATTGTGAAATACTTGAGGTACTTCCAAAGGAAAGGCATTGGAGGACCTTGTAGGTGTGCAAAATGAAAGGCAGTCCCTGATGTATGCAGGGTCCAGGTTCTGTAAAGCCTTGTAAATCATTAAAGCACTTTAAAATCAGTTCTGAAAGACAACGGTAACCAGCACAGGGGGAAAATGTGATACCTTTTTTTTGTGTTTGTTCAAATCCTGGCCACAGCGTTCTGAATTAATTGCAATTTCTATAAATATTTTTTGGGGGAGAATAGTAATTTATTTATTTATATAATTTATTATTTTATTTATTTTGTCTCCGTTTGGAAGTGCAACACTAAAATGTCCCATACAAAGACTTTAAATGTTAAAATGTAAATCATTATTACATTTATTTACTAAGTCCACAACATACTCATGCACTTTAACTTTATTTACACTGATTACATTTACAGACCTGTTGTGGCAGGCAGTTATTTCTTAGTGAGTGTTTGTGTATCATAAACATAGTGTCCAGCATTTACTGTTGCAGGTCTACTTTAGACACAAACAGCTGACTCATGAACCCCCCTTACTCACATAAACATTCCTTTTTAATCCCAGAACATTGAATTAAAGTTCTGCCTGAAGTTGACCTAAAAAAAGTCTGACTCTTTCTTGAATTATTATTTCTTGACAGTTTTTCCTTTTCTTAATCTGTGCAAGTCATAGGACAGTTTAGACAACCATTAGCAAACAAATAGCGTAGATTTGTCTTGTACATGTATTGTTTTGTTTGAAAGATAAAGCAGGTTTGTATGTTTATTTCCCTTCTTACAAAGTAGACACAGTACACAATGTTCAGTTAACAAATTGTGTTTAACACCCCAGCCCTACTCGTCCTGTGGGGACTGCTCATGTCTGTCCCAGTGTCCACACACCTGTGGAGCAGAAACACTTGGTCAAAACATTTATAGGTCAATATTTGATGACACAGCATCGTCCACTTGCTGAGGCCGGATGAACATAAGCCAAAAGGACACATTCAAATGAAAACAATTTATGAAATTGTGGTTGAATATGAAAGCTGTAGCCCTCGTCAAGATATGTGACTGTGACTCAGAGCGGGGGGGGGGGGGCTTCATGCTCCTGGAGATGAACATGTGGAGGGTCTGCTCAGTGATTGCCCATCAGCTCCTGCTGTGTGTTCCTCCCTGCTGACCAGCATGCAGCCACCTGATGTTCTTTTAATGGACACACACATACGGATGGTTCTGCCTCTCATTGCTGCCTCATTTAGTGACTCTTTATTTCCTCTCAGGCTGATCTCCTGCCTTTCTCTTTTGTTTTTATTACTTTATATTTGAGTTCTTCTCTCTGGTGTTATTTACAATTACAGACATACTGTAAGCCAGAATTACACACACGTACAAACAGGACCTATGTGTCAGTGTTCTGGCGCCTGGGAGCAGTTGGGGGTTTGGTGCCTTGCTCAAGGACACCTCAGCATTTCCCAGGTGATATTGGGCTGTATAGATAAAATGTGATTGATTGATTAATTAATGACTGTGATTCGGATCCGCTCCAAAATATAAATGTATATTCTTCTTTGGCCCATGCCACACACCTCCACCAAGTTTCATGAAGACAGCCCTAGGAGGCCACCTGGCAATTTTGGTCCAATCTGGACTTGAACCGGCAACCCTTCAGTTCCCAAGTGCCTACAGACTGAGCTACTTACATCTTGTTAGAGTTGTTTATCATTTGGATTTTAACCATTCTGGTTCCTATTTCGGTTCTGCTTATGGATTCCGGTTTTATCGGTTTAATTTGATTCCTGTTTTTAACCCGAGGGTCAAAATAAGTCACATGCCAATTTCACAGAAAAAAATATGTATTTAAAAAACACATTAGTCAAATTGCTATTCCTGTTTACAAATCACTTCATATACATTAACATTAAATGTTAATTTGGTTGCTGTTATTGAATAAAATGTTTTAAAAATACTGTGCATTGCTTTTGCATTCACAAGTTAGTTCAAAGTGGTGCAATTGGAGAAAATTACAATTTCCCCGTTCTCCTGGGCTGGCCTAAGTATGACCTACACTAAATATCCAACAGCTGCCCAATTGCTTCAGTGTTTGTAAAAGCTAAATAAATCATAATTAATTCCAAAAAGTAACGTTCTATACCCTGCTTCACGTCGACATACGGAACCTGTTTTCATTACCAACCCTACACCCGGTGATTCATCGCTCTGTGGTTCCATGTGTTCTTCACTTATGAACAGTTGTGTTTCTGCCTTATCTTGTAGCTTTCCACTCGATGTGTTCAGCCTCCTTTTTGTAAATGACATTCCTCTCCGTGTCTGTTCCTTCTGCTTCAGCGCCTCTGCCTCTCTGAGTGCATGCTGATGAGATGAGCTTTATTATTGTGAAACGGCAGAATGTTCCTCTGCAGGGGGGGGGGCAGACAGCTTATCAATCTGCTTCCATTTAATGTACTCGCTAAACTCAAACAGCCTCGCAGAGAGAGGGTGTGTGTGTGTGTGTGTGTGTGTGTGTGTGTGTGTGTGTGTGTGTGTGTGTGTGTGTGTGTGTGTGTGTGTCTGTGTGTGTGTGTGTGTGTGTGTGTGTGTGTGTGTGTTCATATCTTCAGAGTGCGGCTGCTGTTCACAATAGTCAATGATGCGATGAATGTGTTGCTTTATGAGCGAGCCAGAGTTACAAGAAGAAAGTTTAGAAGTTGATTCTGCTGCTGTTGTGTTTGAGGACCACAATAAAACTGATTTCAGTGACTCTACATTTGTGACTGTTGCTAGATATTTATTTCCTTATTGACTTCCTTTCATTTTACAGCCTACAAGGACACCTCCAATGCATTTCTTCAAGTACCTAAAGTATTTCACAATCTTGGATCTTTGAACAGCAAACTCCATTGAAGTTTTTTAAAGTAAATTAAAGACCTTTTTAGTTATTTGGCTTTTCATTTCCTACAACAGCAGAGTTGCAGCCCTTTAGATCAGGGGTTCCCAACCCCCGGGCCGCGGACCGGTAACGGGCCGCGGAGGTGTTGCTGCCGGGCCGCAGTTTATCGTAATATTTGCAGAATTATAAATATATAAAAAATATTTTATCATAATGTTTTTTTCAAAAAGTGTTTCATTTTCGTGTGCACCGGAACGAACGACACTATCATAATATCTTCTGACAACAAATGCCAGTGTCACACACACACACACACACACACACACACACACACACACACACACACACACACACACACACACACACACACACACACACACACACACACTACACTTACACTTACACTTACACTTACACTTACACTTACACTTACCCTAACCCTAACCAAGTCTTCACCCTAAAAGTAATGGTTCCCTCATGGGGACCTCCATTTTGTCCCCATGAGGGAGGCGAGTCCCCACACGTGACTGTGTAAACAGATTTAGGTCCCCACAAGTCTAGTAATGCTAGGCCACACACACACACACACACACACCCTGGCGACCGGACATCTCCTTCATAATGCGCCTTCTCCTCGTTTTCCCAGCATTCACTGGATTATCCGTAAATCATACAAACAAAACCAAAACGTTGATTTATCTGTTTTCCCGTTTTGGTTTAAAAACTGAATAACTTGGTTTTCTTTTCTTTTTTGAAAAACACCGGTTCTTTTTTAAACGTTGTTAATATGTTTTGGATGCATATTGTTCTAGTATTTGTTCAGGCTGTTACATACAATTAGTCTCTGTTGCTACCTGCTGGTGAGTAAATATTAAAATCAGTTAAAATTGAAAACCAGTCCGCGATCTTTTTTTTATGTATCTGCCGGTCCTTGGCACAATAAAGGTTGGGAACCCCTGCTTTAGATGACACATGCTTTTAGTGGACAGGCCTTTCCTCACATTCCCAGTGTTTTTTTTATAATAACTCATGACCTTTTAGTAATAAGCCTCACGTTTTCTGATCCGGAGGTGTGAAAAAAAGAACCAGCGGATCCAAATCTCAGTCAGTCAATCAATAAATTGTATTTATACATCCTAATGTCACAAACTACTCCTGTGTCTCAGGGGGGTCAACAGTGTGAACAGCCTCTGACCCCCTCTGTGCTGAGACCCTCGCAGCGTACAAAGCAGCCCCAGACTGAACATCAAAACATGTTAGAAACCTCTGGGAGTGAACAGGACACACAGACGGGCATTAGGTGTGTGTAGATAGATAGATTAAAAAGATCATTTTCAACATAGTCACCGAAAAGAATCCTTTGCTGTGAAGCCCATACAATGACCTCCTGAGACAAAGTTAGTTGTATAAAGTCCCCCTGTGTGCACGTGTCACATTATCTCATATAAGCCCCAATCAGTAGTGTGTTGTTAAAAAAAGAAGGTTGCATCTACAAAGTGATCAATATGTTGTGAACTTCAACAAATATTACAAATCCATTTCAATGACAGGTTATTATGCAATAAACCAAGGAAAATGGCAAGGGGGTGAATCCTTTTGCAAGGCACTGTATACTGGAGATTGAGGAATGACTTCCTAACCCGGGACATGGGAGAATCTGATGGGCAGTGAATGCACCATGAGCCTTGGCAGAGGTCTATGCTCTCCTGTTAAAACTGTTGCATTTTTCAGATGATGTGGATACATTTCTAACTGGGGGAATACAATCTTTGAAAATGACATGACACAATCAGCTTAAAGTCAGATCTCCCTGCTGCTCTGATTCTCCTGGTGTGACAGTTTCCTGTCTAACAAATGATCTGTAGCCGAGCGCAGAGTGCACACAGCAGGGTGAGATCGGACCTCCACCTGCTGTGGTTCCTCTGGATGTGTAACAGTCCCTCTGGTGTGTGCAGATGTGTCGGGGGAGGGCAGTCAGAGTGGAGCTCAGTTCCAGGGCCGTCCCAGCGAGGTGTGGTCCCAGTGGCAGAACCAGCACCACAGCCAGCAGGCGGGGGAGCAGCACACACACCCCAACCCCAGCCAGACAGAGGTGTTCCAGGTAACACACACACACACACACACACACACACACACACACACACACACACACACACACACACACACACACACACACACACACACACACACACTCCAACCCCAGCCAGACAGAGGTGTTCCAGGTAACACACACACACACACACACACACACACACACACACACACACACACACACACACACACACACACACACACACACACACACACTCCAACCCCAGCCAGACAGAGGTGTTCCAGGTAACACACACACACACACACTCCAACCCCAGCCAGACAGAGGTGTTCCAGGTAACACACACACACACACACACACACACACACACACACACACACACACACACTCACTCACTCACTCACTCACTCACTCACTCACACTGCTGCAGGCTGCAGTTGAAATGCCCTCTGGTACCAATATTTATGTGCCTGATATCACTGTTGGAAGAAGTACTCAAATCCTTTACTTAAGAAGTACTATGGTCTTAATATATTCCACTACTAGTCCTTATTTCAAAATTCTACTCAAGTAAGTACAAAAGTAATAGCATCAAAATATACTTAAAGTACAAAAAGTACTCATTCTCCGACCCGTTTCAGAATAATATAAAGTAGTAGTATAATGTCAAGTGTTTTCAGCTAAATGTACTTCAAGTATCAACAGTGAAAGTACTTGGCATGCAGAATGGATCTTTTCACAGTATTTTATTATTATGGTTCTAACATTATCCTGTTTTTCTACATAGCATTTAAATTGTACACAACTGCATTAAACCACATCATTATATATGTGTTATTATGGGAACAAAGTAACTGAGTGTTTAAATAAATGCAGTGGCGTAAAAAGAACTATATTCGCCTCTGAAACGTAGCGGAGTGGTTGCATGAAGTAGCATTAAATGGAAATGCTTAAGTAAAGTACAAATGTGTCGAAAAAGAAAACATTTGATCACCAAAATAAATATTTGATCACCAAAAAATGTACTTGGTTACCGTCCACCACTGCCTGATATTACTTCAGTTATTTTCTTTTTTTTTCTTTTTCATTTGCATAAATAAGTTATAAAAGCACAGCATGTTGTGTAAGTGAACCTGACCATGTCCCTTTAATGTTTGCCTCTACTCAGCTGTGTGATGTCTCTGTGTCTCTGCAGGACATGTTACCCATGGCTGGAGACCCCACCCAGGGAACAGCCAACTACAACATAGAGGACTTCGCTGACCTCGGCATGTTCCCCCCCTTCTCTGAGTAACACCCCCTTTCCCATCCCCACCCTCAGAACTGGACTGATGTCTCATCGTTGTCTCATGTTTCTTTATTGCTGGATCCACACAGCTGATGTGCAGCACAGTGAATGTCTGCGTCTCTTTTCAAACACACTTCACTTATCAAGCCTGCAGTCTGTATCTATGACCATACACATACCTCATCTCTGCAGGCAGGTGGGGGGGCACATCCGTCATCCTGCATCACTCCCTGTGTGTGAGGCTGCTGAACACATGCTGAGGAGCTCCTGCAGTCCAGAGGTCGGAACATTAAATAACTCGTCAGAGACTAGTTTATTACTATTTGACTTCCTATTTTTCAGATTTGACAAAGCAAAAATTCCAAAAAGATGATCCTGAAATCCTTTCAGTCAGCGGTTCATGTCTGCAAGCATCTGCACCGAGAACCAAAATGTACGAGTGTTCCAACAAATAGCCTGCACCCACTGATGTAGACGAGTCTCCACTGCTGTCTGCGTCCACATCTGTTCGGAGTATATCATGTTTTCAGGATTCCATAATAACTCAAAAATTTGAAAAAACGAATTTATAAGTCATTCCTCCCTTATGCTGTGTGCTGTGCAGTCACTGGCAGAGTGGTGCCAAGCATTAACACCAGTGCGGTCACCATGACACTCAGAGTCCCTCAGCATGTCACTACATACGTCTAACTGACGGTGTTCATGTAGAGCTGACACTTGCACAGCAACTTTACATTCCATTTCAAAAAGGCTAAATAAAAGCATCAATCACTGCTTATCTGTGGAGGGACTTAGAACTCGAGAGAAGTTGCACAAATCTTGCTCAACTGTGTGTGAGGAAACAACATTGGCGTGCAAATTGAGAACTGTTCTTAAAGAGGCTCATTCTGCTTTTCTGCTTCCCTTCCTGCAGTGTGTTCTAAAGGTTTGTGTGCATGTTAATGGTCTGCAAAGGCTCAAATCCCTCAGAGGTGCTGCAGCACAGGCAGTATGAGAGAGATAAAGAGCTTTCTGAACATCAAAGCATGGAGACATGTCACAGGAGAGACACTACATACTGATATGAACCTGAAAAGAGCAGAATAAGTCCTCTTTAAAAGAAGAGTTCAAGAGAAGTACTGCAGCTCTATGCCATGCTTAAAGAGCGGAGTATGTGTATCATCACAGTTAGTAAAGTGTTTGTGTCGGCACTCTCTTTACTTCTAAGCAGGATTGTGTTACAGTGCTAAGCTAGCATGTTAATACACACACAAAACACACTGAGTCACACATCTGACCTGCTGAGGTCATCAGTCATAGCTCCCACGTGCATAATGTGACACAGTGTTACTGAGCGATGTCATCAGAGCCAAAATCATGTTGGAATTCAGTCATAAATAACTATCGTGTGCACATACTGTATAAAACCAACGACAGAGAAACAGTCAGCAGTATCAGCCTGCTGAAAACTAAGTGCAGCCTCCCACAGACCAACAGGCCCCCCCCACCTGCTCTGCTGATGCCTGCAGTGATTGTACAGTCAGTTCTGATGTATTGCCAATCCCTGCACTCAGTGGCGTAACAAGGTTGTGATTGGCCCCGGTGCAAATATTGTTCTGGGGCCCCCATCGCCCCAAACATAAGCGCACGCTGATGCGCTCACACACACACGGACATACACAACCACTCAGAAGCGCCACATGTATAGGCTATCAACAACAGCCTGCCCTGGCCTCAGACCACCACAGCCTGACAACAGCACAGCGAACTAAGAAGAGGATTAAACCTGTTTCCTTGATGTTTGTCTCTGGGGAATGGGCCGGTAGGCCTACATAGACCGGTTGCTATAATATAGCTTTTGATCTTGGCGTCGGGGGTCTCAATAGCGCCATAGAGTCCCCTATCGGTTGGGGCCCTTGGGGGAACTGTTGGACCACCGCCGGGCACAGCCAAATCCAGCCTCTCCTCCTGGGTGGCTGGAGAAGAAGGTTGCACAGCCACGGCCACGGATACAGCTTCACTTGTGGAGCTAGATGGCAATGATGGTGGTGAGGCAGGTGAGCTATCGTTAGCCTCCGCCTGCCGCTGCACGTCAACATTGCTAACGTTAGCGCTCGATTTCGAGGACGATGTATGACAAAAAAAACTGTCAAATGTTGTCAGTTTAGCTGTTACGTCTCCTTGTTCTCTCTTGTCCTTTCTCTTTTGAGCGCCGCTCTCGTGCTTTGGTTTGCTGTACATTATAAATGCAAGCTATTACATTTTTATAATGCTACCGAACTTAGCAGTACAGGTTGATTAAACGGTTCGCTCGTCACACAAGGTATCACATGACATGAAAGGGAGCAAGGTCATTGGACAGACAAATTACAAATTAATTTAGGTTGCTTGGTTACTTTGAAGACTGCGTGAACCGGTCAATGCCATTGGGGCCCCAAAAAAAAGGGCTCTGGGCCCCGGTGCGTTGCACCGGCTGCACCGTCGATAGTTACGCCACTGCCTGCACTACATGTTGCCACACACACACAGACACAGATGTATGTGATGTTTAAGACGTTGGCCTCCACCTGCCTGCAGCCTCTTCACACCATCGCTGCCAAACAGCAGCAGGGGGGGTCTCCAAATGCTCCTGTCCTCACTCTCCACCCACCTTACTGTGTAAACTGTATGTAGTGATGTCCAGAACTCTAGAGAACCCAACGCCAGTATAGAAGATTCTGTGTATAAATGAAAATCTACATTGAAAAATAATAATAAAAACTCATTGCAGGCCGTTGCTAAGCTAAGGCTTAAAGTGCACTTCATGAAGCTAACTGCTAATCTCACCAGCCTGCTTTAAAGGGAAGAACCGCCATACCGTGGGAGCGAAGCGCAGCGTCTCACCGTGAGTTTGTCCTTCAGCTGGCTACTTGACTTTATTACTTTATAATCTTTTCAACTATTAAGAGACTTAATAATACTTTCTAGCGGGGAGCTTTTACAGTACGGATTGTATAATGTCTCTGAGTGACGGATGGAGAACATGAACAGACATCAGAGCCCTTTTGCTAAAGATCTCAGATTGATGTGTTTTGTAAATAATGTGATTTTTATGTCGACTCGTGTTACTTTCACACAGTACATGTTTTTTGTGTAGGTTTTAATGATTGTGTGCAATGTGAGTACATATTTAACTATCGGTATTTAGTTAGTCTGTTAATTGTACATTGAGTTCTAGACCTGTGTAAATGTGACCCAATATTTTTGTGTAACAAATTGTGCTTGTGACATTAAATTCATATTGGTTACATGGCTTCTATTCAAAGTGTATTCTTCAATAACTTAGTCATGATTCACCTTCAGATCTGTTTTTGTTGTGCTTCATTTTCACCGACAAAACATGTACCAATAATTGTGATGGTTTGTTACTGATTAAACTAACATTATGAAAAGCTGCTACATTTAGCTCCAATTTGACCAAATGAAACAGTACAATTATTGTTCAAGATGAATGCCTAGTAGTAAGGCATTTACAGTGAGCCCTTTGTCATTTCAAAGTTAATTTTACCCATAATACTTGGTGTATTCTTACTCTAACTCTAGAGGAAGTGTCAAGAGTTGAACATCAAAGGTTCAACATATTTATGGGAGTACTTATGCACATGTTGTAATTTATTTAAGGCGGTATCTTTGAATTTATTAGTTTTACTCACAGTTGTGCTGACAAGTCTGGATTCTGATGATGGCTTCATGTTATGCTACTTGTAGTTAACTAAAATAAAATGAGATTCTTCCCACACACTTTCAACAAAGAAAATATTCCCTTATAATTGTCAACAAATCGGAACAAAAGATGCAAAACTCAAACCAACTGATAAAAACATTTAGATTGTCTTTCTTTATGTTTTACGTAATATCATTGAACTATAAAAAACGGTGTCTTCCACTTAGGAAGCCCATGTGTCTCTTGAAGGCACCGTGGGAATTGTAGTATTTTATATTTCCTGGCTACAGAGGTTGCCACTAGGTGACAATAATATTTGACCTTTCCCCAAAAATAAACTGGCTCTAACAGTATGGCTTATTTTACCCAAACCCAGGGACGTGCACAGGTACGGGCTAATGTTGCCTGGGCATCGGCCCGTTTTCCCTCTTTGGCTGACCTGCCCCTCTGGAGAGAGCGAAAGTCTTTTTTTTCTGTTGTGGCCGAATCAACATGATAAGCCCCAGTGGTGTAGTGGGGATTTTTTTACTGGGTGGACGCTATTTTAATTAGGTCATCCCAAACAATGCCACAAGTGCGCACGCGCGCAGTGCACTCACAAAACGGGCAGACAGGTCTACAGAAACTACCGGTATGCTTAGTCCTACTAGTGTAGTTACTGTACTGCAAAAAGCAGACGGCGCTGCGCTCAACCCACACACAGACTCAAAACCATGGACACACCGGCACATAAGTTACATAAACAATTTATAGGCGTAAGTTGCATAAATGCTTGAGCTACAGTATTGCAACTAAGCAGACAGCGCTGCTTCTCTCTCTCTATCTCCACTTTCAAAATCTATTTAAAACTCATAACAAACAACATTCCCCTAGTTGTCCTGAAATGAACTTATTAAATAAACGAAACGATACACACTTGCAACTGATAACACTGGCAATGATTTTATATTTATTAGACTATTCAAAAAAAATCATGCTTCAAAAAAGCGGGGGCTCCAAATAAGCATGGGAGCCTGCCTGCAGGCGCCAGTCTCAGGACACCTCCACTCTCAGGACAGGAAGTGCATGCACACTAAGAATTACAAAATAAAATCGCCACTATCAGTACAGCGCCACTTTCCGAACAGGAAATGTCAACTCCCGTTACATTCCTCAATAGCCGCTTTCACGCCAAGTACTTTGCCGTACTTAGTGCCGGCACTTAGTACCCCAGGGCACTAAGTACCAATCGCGTTCACACCGGAGTACTTTTCCCTGAGGGAAGATTACACAAATGAGCCGCTGACGTCACTTCTTCTTCTTCTGCTTTGGGTTTACTGGCAGGCCGCAAACAACTTCACGGCGTATACTGCCACCCGGAGTCCCCGGCCGGAAGTCCCCGGAGTTGGGGTCTGGCTTCAGTAGAAGCTGCTGGGACTCCCAGCAGCTTCTACTGAAGCCTTCCGAGTAAATCGCCAGAACGCCGACACCTCCTCATCACTCCACCGCTCCCATGTTTTTTTTTGTGTTGCCATAAGTTATTCTCTCTCCGTTGGTGCGCGGGGCTAATGCTAATATTGCTAATGCCAGCAAATACAATGGCGGCTTCAAAAAACTTTTCAGAGTTTTACGGGGCGTGGTTTGCAATTCGCCCAGCCAATAGAAATTGGTACTTTTTTGGTACCACCTCTCAGCAGGCACTAAAAATGGGGGTAAAAGTTCCCGGCACTAAGTACTCTTTTTGGTGTGAACGCGACATAAGGGGTACTAACGGAACTAAACAGGAAAAGTACGGGGAAAAGTACTCCGGTGTGAACGCGCCACATGGTGTCATTTGAGCGAAAAACTTTTACGAGAACCAGGCTGGGGGGGTCAAAAGGGCTTGACCAAGGCCGACCCAAAGTGCATGGTGAGCGGACTCCATTGTGATTTGAAAACTTCCATCAGACGAGTCCTTCGGGGGCGGGGAAAAAAATCAATATGTTTAAAAAAAAAAAGAAGTAAAATTCGCTAATATTTGAGGATTAAGATAAAATAAGTACTTTATTGATACCAATTGGGGAAATGTTTGCATTTCAGCAGCAAAAGACAAGGCATTGTACATTAGACAGTTAAAAGACTAGAATTAAACAATCGAAAATGAAAACATCTTAAATAGAAATAAAATAGCATTAAAAAAAAGTAGAAAATATACATAGATAGTGTGAACAGCTATCTTACCTGCCTTGTTAACATATACATGTTAGGCTAACGTTGCCTTGGTTAAAGAGCCTGTTGCTGTTGTTTATTGCTTTGAATTCTTTAAAACAAATATTATCTTCTTAAACTTGTATGGTAGTCAGAAGCGTGTCTGTGCACGTCCCCACAAACCTAATATTAATAACCGATGCAGACACAAACGGCGGCTGGTGACCATCCCCCCCTCGGTGGGGGGCAACCTCCGGTTTTGGGGGTCCCCACTGGGACGGGTGATCTCCCACATCTCAGTGTTCACGGATGCATCCGGAACAGGATGGGGAGGAACCTGCCTAGGGAAAGCTGTAGGAGGGTGCTGGTCTCTAACAGACGTGGCACATCAACCTCCTGCGGGCAGTGATATTAGTCCTCCAACATTTCAAACCCTTAATCCAGGGGAAACATGTAATGATCAGGAGCGACAACAGCACCACAGTGGCATATATCAACAGACAGGGCGGAGTCCGCTCTGTTGACCATAGCGGAGAAATTGTGGTTATGGGCTGCAGAGGTAATGTTATCTCTGAGAGCCCTCCACATTTCAGGTCTGGAGAACAGGGGGGCCGACCTCATGTCGAGGGGCGGACCCCTGCCAGACGAGTGGACGCTTCACCCAGAGGTGGTGAAGCGGATCTGGGCCCGGTTCGGGACAGCAGAGGTGGATCTGTTCGCCAGCTGGGGAGAGTGAGGCGGGAGCGTTTGTCAATCATCCTAGTAGCACCGGAACACGCAGGGGCGCCGTTGTACTCGGAGATGACACAGATGAATGTGGGCCAGCCCTGGGCGCTTCCCCAAGTTTGGGGGGTCATCTCCCAGGAGGCAGGTGCAA